AAAACCGAATTTCTGAAGGCCATGCAATCCCGCGGTGGCACGGGATTGATTTTTTCTGCAAATAAAAGAAAAAGCCACAAATTAGAGGCATCTTCAGACAATAGCCCCAACATGTGGCCAAGAATTTCGCAAACAAAGCCCAACGGGAAAGTGGTTACAATTTTGGCAAGATGATGCAGGGTGCTTGGGTTTAGTATCAAAGAGGACATGATGGACCTTATAAGGCTCAAGGAAAGTTGGTCGTCTAGCGTGAGATTGCTAAAGAAAGAAATATTTACTTCCTTGGTAATAATTCTAGGTTCTGAAAACACAGCTTTACAAAGCCCAACGCCAAAAGATGTCGATATCAAATGGAAAAGTTCCCAAAATTTGCCACTCGACATATGAGAAAGGGAATCAAGGAAGGATTTCTCGTCATCTCCTATAACGCCAGCATTTAAGCCGCCTTCTTTTAAGGCCTGTGGATGTATCACTAGCACGTTGGCAGAAATAGTGGAATTTGAAAAAACAAGTTCCACGTCAACGATAACTTTAGCGGTTTCAAGAACATAAACATTTCGGAAAAAGCTGTAAACGATATCAGGATTTTGGGAGATCCTAACATACTTTCTAAAAGAGGTAATTTAAAATGCCATGTTACCTAAAAACAGGAGATGAATGAACATTGAATGGCCGCAGATTATCATCGCAATATATGGCCAGGAAATAAGTAAATAAATTTGTCCAAGTAATTTCGGTAAGCTCGGAAGAAAGTCGCTCCAAAACCACTATCCATTGATCGAACCGCCTATCAGAAAAATTGAAATAGATATCGCAAATCAGAAAGAGGACAAAGTTATGGTTGTTTGCTTGCTTAAAGCAAAAAAAACCACAGTTTCCCGGTCTCGGCGTTGGCTTAAAGTGATTAATGAGAAGAGCATAGATATCGATTCTTTTGACGGGCTTTCTGGACAGCTTTATGTCTTGGAAAAAAAGAGATAAAATAACGGATATCTCAGAATCCGCAGGTTTGGTAAATTTTATGGCCTCGAGACTATTTCTTGGTAGGGACGATGAAAAGTCCTGCCGATAAAAGAAGCATACTTTGGCTATTTGCTGAGGAGACAATGACTGAAAGTTAGCAAATCAATATGATTCACCTGCAAAGAGGTGAGGTCATCTGATATGCCAATGCTAGATAAATATTTTTGCACGAGTTCCTACACGTTAGCCAAATTAATTTGGTACGCTTTGTCCATGGTAAAGATCCCACAACACCTCGACGGCCAACAGAGGATACGATATTTTCAGAATCTCGCCAACGAAGATAGAAATTTCACAATGGCTTGAAAAGCAGAAAATGTCAATATGTTTGCAGGCGAGCTCCCAAAATTCGGTCTATCGTTAAAGAAGTCAATTTACTTTGAAACTGGTCGAAGGATAAACAAACTCGCTTTTCAAAATAAAAGTTGATGCCGGTATTTTAACTTGATACTTTTTATAAATGGCAAATAAAGGAGCTATTAAGGAATGCATGTCTCTAAGCGAAAGGTTACCATCCATATTTGTACCTTTGGACGGTTTTGTTTGCATTGGAGGAGAGCACTATTTGGGTGAGTATGCTCCGAAAGACAAAGGCACAGGGAAAAGCATTGTCAAAAGTTTCAAATAAATATATCGCCGCAAGCACAAAGTCCTACGAGGGAAAAAAGAAAACTAAACATAAGTGCCCTACTTTAGTAACACAAATTGTGGAGTTGATCCTGTACATAATATACATCAGGTGCTTTTCAATGTTTTCTGGCAAAAGCGAAAATATGTGCATGCACCACAGTGAAAATTGATCCAAAAGCATCAATAGCCTCTCGCCGCTAACAAAAGAGTCCAACTTAAATCTAGCCGATTTGAAAAGATATGAGGGAAACGCCTCTTTTTTCAATAATCTGCAAACTAGTCCCAATAAGCCGGAATCTTTTACCTTCAAGTTGCAGGTCAAATACGGCATTGAAAATTTCCGATACAAAGGGAGAGCCTTTGTATAAATAGACATTTTGAGCCATCTCTTTCAAAGTACAAAGTAGCTTACAGGTCAGCGCATTTTGGCCCGCAAAAGCAGACCCAGAGGGCATCAATAGGGTATATTTGAACAGAGAAATTGGGTCACACATCTCATTATGCTGATTGCCGTTTATCTGCTCAGCATGCGCAAAGATTTCACCCTTGTAAATAAGAGAAATGTAGTCGAGGAATTTAGAGCAGGAATTTAAAAGGTCCGCGTGAATCAAATTTGACGTTGGATGAGTTTCAAAGAAAGAACGGAAGAATTCCTCAACAATCGAATGCAGCAAGTCTCCTTCATGTTGGCGGGGTGAGTGGGTACCATTCATTAATGGAATTTAAAGTCCAAATTTTTAAACTTTTTACCAGTCCACAACAAATGGTAAGCAAGCCCATTCATTGATGATGCCTTTTTCTGCTAGAGCGTCGATATTTTGTCCCGCAGCATGAATCGCAAGCTGAAGGTTTCGGATGCCGAAAAGGAAAGGGATTACGGGTATGTCTATTCCGTGTCCGGTCCAGGTAAATCGAGCAGCATTTGATTCGTAGTTATCATTGCCGAAAAGATGAACGGCACTGCCATGTATGAGCTGGTGAGGGTGGGCCATTTAGAATTGGTTGGCGAGGTAATTAGAATCGATGGCGATAAGGCAACGATTCAAGTTTATGAAGAGACATGTACACTTAATCTACATGATGTTTAGCTGGCCTCACCATTGGAGACCCCGTTTTACGAACTGGGAAGCCGCTTTCTGTGGAACTTGGGCCAGGTATGTGAGCGCATCTTTTTCTTAGGGCTGTGCTCCAATATTTTCGACGGCATTCAGCGCCCACTTAAGACCATTCAAGATATCTCCAAAACCATCTACATCCCTCGTGGTATTAGAACTGATGCTCTTGATCATTCTCGCGAATGGGAATTCATACCATCCCCTGATGTTCAGGTGGGAGATCGCATTACGGGCGGAGATGTCTTTGGAACTGTGATTGAAAATACGCTTGTCATCCATCAAATCATGCTTTCGCCTCGAGACTATGGAACGATCACATTTCTTGCTCCTTCTGGAACATACACCCTGTCTGATATTGTTCTAGAAACAGAGTTTAATGGCCGCACAACTCAACATACCATGATGCATCTATGGCCCGTTAGAACACCTCGTCCAGTTTCTGAAAAGCTTTCTGCAAACTATCCCTTGCTTACTGGACAGAGGGTTCTCGATGCTCTTTTCCCGTGTGTGCAGGGAGGAACCACGGCAATTCCAGGCGCATTTGGATGCGGAAAAACCGTCATCTCCCAAAGTCTTTCAAAATATTCGAATTCCGACCTTATCGTGTATGTGGGTTGTGGCGAAAGAGGAAATGAAATGGCAGAGGTTTTGATGGATTTCCCAGAGGTACCTTTTTGACGGCAGCATTTATTTTAGCTGACAATAACAAAGAACGGACAAGAGGTGTCTATCATGAATCGAACAACGCTCGTCGCCAACACTTCAAATATGCCCGTTGCTGCCCGTGAAGCTTCAATTTACACCGGTACATGATGGGGCTAAATCTGACCTCTCCTAGGAATCACACTTTCGGAATATTTTAGAGACCAAGGCAAAAATGTTGCCATGATGGCCGATTCAACCTCTCGATGGGCCGAAGCTTTAAGAGAAATATCTGGACGTCTTGCCGAAATGCCAGCAGGTAGACCGGTGGTAGTTCCAATTTAAGATAGTGGATATCCTGCATATCTTGGCGCTCGGCTCGCTTCTTTCTACGAACGAGCAGGCAGGGTCTCATGCATCGGCAATCCCCAGCGCGAAGGAAGTGTATCCATTGTGGGGGCGTAAGAAATTCGATTGCTTACGCTCTAGCGTTTCTCCTCCTGGCGGTGATTTTTCCGATCCAGTTACATCTGCCACTTTGGGGATCGTTCAAGTATTTTGGGGGCTTGATAAGAAGCTTGCCCAGCGCAAACACTTTCCCTCTGTCAATTGGTCGCTTTCATACTCAAAGTATATGAGAGCTTTGGAGCCATTTTATGACGCAGAGTTTCCAGATTTCATTGCTCTTCGCACCCGCTGCAAGGAAATTCTTCAAATGGAAGAGGATCTTTCGGAGATCGTACAGCTTGTTGGAAAAAGCGCCCTCTCCGAGCCCGACAAAATTACGCTCGATATCGCCAAGATTTTGAAGGACGACTTTTTGCAGCAAAATGGCTATTCGTCTTATGATCGCTATTGTCCATTCTATAAAACAGTTGGTATGCTCCAGAATGTGATATTTTTTTACGAGCAAGCAACGACCAGTGTTGCCGCTTCAAGTTCTGCTATAACGTGGTCCAAAATCAGAGAAAAGATGCCCGATTTGTTGCACAAGCTATCTTCCATGAAATTCGAGGTAATTCCATTTCATTTTCATTTTAGGATCCTGTGGACGGACAGGATGCGATCCAGGAACGCTATCTCAAGCTCTATAAAGAAATTGAGGATAGATTTCGCCTCTTTTTGGACTAACGTATCAATAAATAAATCTGCCTAATTTTATTCCAACCCTAACTTTATTGTTGCAGCCACATGTTGGTGGTGTTTTGATTGGTAAATTTGCGGTGGCTTGCTTATTCATCGCGATGCCAGTGTATTTTACCCGGCGAAATGGCAGCCATAAAAATGCTGGCGTTGAAAGAAAATATTTTATTCAGTATCCTCAATCATCTGCATCATCTGGGAGCTCTGATGGCTTCATAAGACCGGGAATTTTCATGGCCGTTTCAAGCTCAACCTTCTTTTTGCGCTCTTGCTCTAACTCTAGCTCCTCATGGAACATCTCTGCATTTTCTCCGGAAACCTCACGAAGCTGTATCAAAAAGTCCCTAATGTGTGCCATAAGCAATTCGTGGTCTCGAAACAAGTCAAAAAGCCCACGCACAAAAATGGAGATTTGAGTTCTACAAGCATAAAAGCAAATCAATTACGAAATCAGATGGGGGAACGCCCTTGCTAGAAGCGATTTTGTATGTTCCTCAAGTGCCGATTTGCAGGCGCCCGGAACGGCGGCTCCCACATTCAAAGGGGGCGAGACAGCATCAATTAGCAATGGGAATTTGATTCTGTCTGCAGCGGCGAGCCCATAAATATGGGCCAAGATGGCACATTGCAGGTTAATTCCGGACTTGTGATCATTATCTGTGAGCACAAAAAATACGTCTCCCAGCAGCGGCAACAGGTGATTTCTATAAAATACGTTTGAAACCTAGCAATTAGCAACGAATGGGGCATTGAAACCTCCGGATCGGATTGGGAAAAGTTTTCTAGAATTTCAAGACATATTTGAAGGCCGGTGTCCGAGATATCGCGCACATTGTGTTTGAACGACCATACAATGAAATCGATGATAAGCTTAAACTGCGCAGGCGAAAGCTTCAATAGAGCTGGTCACCGTAAAAACATAAAGCGCATACCTTGAAAGCATTTGGAGTTGACGGCTTTGATGAGGGAAAGAAGACCTAGTCGGTGCTCCGGGTATTCAGAAAAATTCTTCGTGATCATGGTCAGTGTGGATTCAAACACAGAATCAAGGATAGCAGGAACCATATCGCCAATGAAGGTGCCCAGCTTGTCAACCACAGAAGCCGTCACAAGAAGAACTTCGGATTCGCGAGCGGACTCCGTGTTGGACTTGTAATCCAAAAGGATGGTCTCAAACAGCGCCGGGGTGAAGCTCTCCGAAAGCATCTTTAAATCATCGGCATGTTCAACGTATGTGTTAACCAGACGCAATATATCCTTTTTTACGGACCGCATACCCCGAATGACTGGGGTTTTCGTTGCGACAATTCCTAAAAATAACAAATTTAACCGGCACTACCCTTTGTAGCGACAGCGTCGGAAATTATAATGCTGACGGATCGATATAGGGCCATCATGTCCATAAAAAGACGGGCCAGCTGGTTGATAAACGAGCATCCAACGGAGGAGCAAGCAGCAGCATTGGTCTTCAGCACATTACAAAGGTGCTTGGTGGTCTCCGGAACGTGAAGAGCTTCAGGCGAATTCTTAATGTTGACAATCAGGGAGTCCCACTAGTGGTGATGAAAACATTTTCAAAAACCATTTGGTTTGGCAGAGCCATTAGTTTTTCAACAAGACGGATTCTGGCCTCCGATTCTGGACTGGACGAAATCATATACCCAATTGCTTCGTAAAATGTATGGATCTGTTGGGGCTGAAGATCAGCAGCGGTCGACCCAAGGTTTGATATTATCTCCTCAATAAAAGGCACATGTTCCCCAGCTTGAAGCAAAATAAAGTGCCGATGGCACTTTTTTGATATTTTTATAAACGTGTCGCAAGCCATGTCCTGAACGCCTAAACGGTTGAATCAAAATCACGCAGCCATACCTTCGTGTCGTTCGTGCATGAACTCAAATAGCTTGTTTACGACGGTCTTTAAAAACTTCCAATGGGCTTTGAGAAAGCGAGGATATTGCCCCACAATATACATGATATTGGAGGCAACAACGGCCTTGTTGTCTTTTCCCTTTTTGATTTCACACAGTCCAAGCAAATCTCTAATGACGGTCACCAGAAACCGCTTCTCAGATTCCTCATTCATGGCCCCGCTTATGGACCCTATTGCCCAACAAAGCTTGTTCAAGTTATTCCAGCTCCACTCACTCGGATCAAACTATTAAATTTTTAGCAAAAAATGCCCTAACTTGGCGAGCGAGCTTGTCGGTCATAATATTCTCTGTATCGTCATAATCGAGATGTGTCAGTAATACCAGGCATTCTCGCATACTTTTATACAGAGTGATGGTATCGGTTTCTTTGATAAATTCGCGAACAATTTCTCCATTCTCATCTTCGACAACGAGAACCTACACAGCTTAGAATGCAAAAAAACCTCCTCAGGCTTGACCATTTTGCTTATCATAACGTGTCTTAATGAGGATAGAATGCGAGCATATGTAGCCCTTCTAGAGTTTGCTCCAATGATAGAGCCAAGTAACAATGGAGATTGTACAAAGTCGATTGGAACCTCATTATAAAGGTCCAACACAAGCTTGTTCCAATATTCCAGGCAGATTTTAAAGACCTCTCGATCTTCAATCAGAGAAATCTTCAATAAATAATTGTGAACCAGCTTTAAAAGCTCTGGAGAGGCCCGTTGTTCAATGGTCTACAAATATGAATGCTAAAAAAATAAACCTTCAAGTGTGAACCCAAAATCGACGTCATAAAAAGAGACATGTTTTGGATAAATTTTTGTTCATGGTCATTGGAGTCTGCATATTTCTTGACAAGATCAAGATCGTCAGAATAAGGCACGATCTGATTTATTGCGCTCATCACGGACTGAAAAATGTGGAAAAACTTTTCATCAAATTCAGGCTCCACTATCAAGGCGCCAATTTCTGTAAAGCACGCAATCGTTACATTTCTAAAGTAATTTGTAGGAAGAAATCGGTGGCGCAGATTGTCCACAATGTTTGTCTCAAAAATATAGCCAAGAGGAATCCATTTGAGAAAGCGAAGCAATGCCTCCAAGGTAGCCATCAGCAATGAAGGCTTTTGGCATTTCTGTAGGATTTCGGAGCACAATTGAAATATTTCGGCAAATTCTTGATTCAGCTGATTTTTCAAGTTCCTAGCACGAACGGTGGTCATTTGTTCAGCCGAAAAATCAAAGACCTCCTCGCTAATGCGTTAGTGAATGGGGCCAAGTAACCTCAGTAGCTTCAAGATGATCATGTTGTTTTCACAAAGGGACATGTTGGATCTGCTGGCCCCAATAATCTCCGTGATAAAAGTAGGCCATTTTTTGGGCCAATCTTGCTTCAGGATTTGCACCAAAAGTAGATTTAACTTTGATAGGAAAAGACGCTCGGCCTTTAACGAGTCTTCGGTTGATGAATTTTTAATAATGGTGGCAATGATGTAATTTTTTATGCCTAATGATAAATGGAGTGGAGGCGGTACCGTCGCATTGTTCTCTGGGCAAAACATTCCATCTTGCCTTGATAAGTTTTTCAAGAATCTGCAAAGCAAGGTACTATTAAAAGTGGTAATAAAAGGTCCCCATACTTTGGTTTGAATATTCGTCGAAGTTTCAAGAATCAAATCGACTCTCTGCCAGGCATCAGGATGATCTTGAAACTGGGTTGCTATGCATTGAGCATTTTGTCGCTATAATAAATGCCGAAATGTTACTTCTGCTCCGGTTCCGTGGAATAGTGAATACACGACTTGATCAAGAAGAGAAACGTCTAAAGGCTCTTGGAAATTGAGAATTCTCTCCATGGGAATTTTAATAAGAACTTAAAATGCAATTGCAATCTTTAAATTTAATTGAACATTGTCTTGTCTTGTAAACAAAGTTAATGACTTTAATGATTACCACGGCCACCTGTGGAGTAAAAACAATTGTGCTTGAAATTTGGATCCAATTTTTCAAAACTTTGGTATTGCAGCAAATATGAAGATAAATTGGTGTAAAATTTCTCATCCAGGTCAATTAATTGAATCGAATAATACACATCATCTTTCTCAAAGTACTTCCACACATTGAGGGAGTGAGTGGGGAAATTGGTGGATCGTACGATATTGATCAGCAAAGAGCAGTCTCTCAATGTCCTAAAGATCAGAAAAGCAGCCATTCTATCTTCCTTTGATGGATCTGTGGAGCGGCTTTCCTTGGTAAAAATATTTAAATAAGAATCTTTTAGCCGCGTCAAGTCCAAATCATGGCCCACTTGCATAGAGGTAGGATTTCCAAAAATACAACACAGCTTGTCTATTGAGCCTTGTATAAACTCCAAAATGCGAGAATGCAAAATAATGTCCGCTATAAGGTCAAAATTGACATCTTGTGCTGAAAAATGAACTTTCAAACGCAAGTTTTTTGATGCCGCTAAAGCAGAGGAAACCCCTGCACGTGACGAGGCACTAAACAAATTTAACGGGCATTGATCGCTCCTTCCCTTTAAAAATTGAATAATACAAGAGGAACACCAGCCAATCGATCCGTATTTTATAGGCTCAGGACATTTGGGCTAATTTAAACGTAAATTCGAATGACATTCTTACTTTGAGCTCGATACACATGTCTTCATACAGCAACGAGTCAGGCAGAAAATACATAAACGAAGAAGGCTTCTTACATGCCAACGGATGTTGAGTAAAAAGCAGGTCCAAGACTTGATCGTGAATTTTATCAACATATATGGCTTTCGGGGAAAAAAAAGCAATATCATTGGCAGGAAAAAGATACGAAGACAAAAAGGATCGGTATATAAGAGGTGGAAAAATCACGTTATCGCAAACAAATTTTGGTACCCGAAGAACTAGATCACATAAGCTAGCATTTTTATAATCTTTTTCATCGGCCGTTGCGGATGTTTTGACATATCGAAAGAGCATGTTTCGCCGACCTTCACCGACCAACGTCCACATTCGCCATTAAAAATAAATTTACATTTGCCACTAGATTTTAATAATCACCTAATGTAAGGCTTAATTACCTTTAATGCTCCAACCCACTTGCTATTCATCCGTTGCTAAATACTAATATTATAGGATGGCAGAATCGGAACTTGATTTAAGATCTCTCCAACCAAATATTTCTAATCATAAAGGCTCAAATTTCTCCGTCAGCGTCACGGATGCTAATGACGATCTTTCTTCAGCTTCAGACGATTCTTCCTCTGATGTAGAGTGTGCTGATAATTGTGAACACGGGGAGCATACCAACTCTCATGACGCAGCGAGAGGCCAATCTTATTCGAGGAACGAGCGAAAAGCTAGAAAGCTAATTCTTAAACTTGGTCTTGTTCACGTTCCAGAAATCACAAGGGTTACACTTTGCCGATCAAAGAATACGGTGTTTGTTATCAGCAAACCAGAAGTCTACAAGAATCCGACCACAAATTCCTTTGTCGTCTTTGGAGAGGCAAAGGTAGAGGACCTTGGTATGGCTGCACAGGCTCAGGCAGCACGCCGTTACCAAGAACAGCAGGAGGCAATGATGAAAGATTTTCCCGTCCAATCTGCATCGGCTTTAAAGCAAATTGAAGGAGTGCAGGAGGTTGATA